ACCGAAATTGAGATTCAGATCATATAAAAAGCGAGTATTTAGATATTTAGATAAAACTTTCAAGGGTTTATTTCCAAAATTAATTTTTTTTCGCATTTACTTAAATCTAAACATTGCGATTTCCAATTGAATTCTCTCAAACATATATATAATTACATGAATACATGTATAATTACCTGAATTACAGTGCACAAATACGTGCTCATATGACCTAAAAGCACCCATTAATCTTAATTTTAATAACCAATGTGAAAGAAACCCCAAAATGCATTTTTATAGCCGATCGTTATTTTAAATTTCTTTTTAATTTCGTAATTGTATATTTTCCTATTCATAATAGATTGAACAAACAAAAATTATTTGGAAATAACAATAGAATTGTTCTCTAGATATTACGATAAAAAGTATAAAAAAATTAAATGCGTAGTTTATACATGTTTTAATTTAAATATCATATCATTTAAAACTTCTCTTTTGTATCGTACAATATCAAAAAAACAAGGCAGCTACCATGAATATTTATAACTTTGTACTATTTTGTCAAATTATATGCTCTGCATATTGCTGGGTAAGTGTTTTCGAAATGTTTAATGTATTTATCTAATTTTTAACGTCATATATTTTGCACTATATAATTTTTAGAGAAGTTATTCACTAATTAGCAAAAATTTGACTGGCGAGCCAAATCCTGAATATATAAGTGACTTTAATTTATTAGCCAAGCAACAAGGCTCAAAAATTTCAATTGCTGCTAATGCAACTTTAACAAAAGACCTTCAGCGAGCAGTAATTGTAAGTATTTATCAGATCCACTAAAAATCTAATAGAAAAAATCGTGTCTACCTAGAGTGTTTGAATAAAAATAAATTATGATATTGTATAAACCTTACTTACCTTGAGAAAGATATTTCTTGTTTCCTTATATTTATGAAATAAATTGCATTGAATCGATTTTATTGATGCATCATTAATTTATTTAATTTATATGTTATTGTATCCTTGGTTAGTTGAAAGTTATTGCTTATGAATTCAAGAATGAAGAATATGTTCAGAGTTTCATTAACTCCACGCTAAACTTGTGTGACTACTATAAGAAACCAACAAGCTACCCATTGGTACACATAATGTATCCAATATTTGCAAAGCATGGAAACTTTCCGAAAAAGTGCCCTATAAAAAAGGTAAAAAAAACACGGATAATAATAAATTAATAAAATAAGGCTGAAGTGTCATGAAAAATAGGATACAATTTGAAGAAAATTCCGTTTTTGTGGTACTTACTTGTTTGCAAAAATTTGTCTGAGTTTTGATATTTATTGAGTCTTCTTTTAGTTGAAACTTGCGTTGTTATATCTCATTTTAAATTTGATTTGATGTCCAAAATTTTTACAATTGAAATATTATTTAAATTTATGAGTATTGGCTTTAATTGCAGGACTTGCTACGACTAAAAAAATAAAAATATAAATGAATAAGATATGTGAAAACTATTCATTATGAAAACAAGCTTTTATAGTTAATATATATTGTTGGTTACAACTAACAAGTAACAACAATATATTATTAAATACAATAAATAATAGAAATAATTAAGTAAATATAAAACGTAAGATAATAATAATAAACTTGCTTATAAAAAACAAAAAATACGTTGGCTTTATTAGAGAAATAACTTCAATTTATACCAAATCAGAACACATAAAACTAATAAACTAATTTTTACTAAAGATACGTACTGTCTCCCATTCCGGTATTATGGAAATTTGTCGGTTTAACTTCGAATAATTGACGAAAATTAGTTACCAGTACCAGAAATTCGTTAATCGAGATAAACAAATTAATACAATCTTTCTTCACTGTAACTTTTTAATCATGAAGATTTCATGAATGACGCTTCCCCTATACCACAAAAACAATCTATATGTTTTCCTATGATTTAGTCAAATAATAAATATAACTTAAAATTATAATTATAGGGACTTTATCATGGTCTTTTGCCACAATTCGACTCTGACCGCCTACCTCCATATATGCCTGGTGAAGATTGGCGTGTGGATTTAATTTTACATGATGATGACATAAAGATTCTCAACACCAGCTGGCACATAAAATTGGACCATACTAGAGCAGTAAATGGCTTTAAAGTTTTAAATCGTGGTTGATATTTTTATATATATCCGAATAAAATTATTTTTGTTTTAATCATATATGAAAATCTAATGGTTGGAGTGTTTATAAATTAAGCAACACTAATAAAATGCAAACAATTTTTGGAAAACAATTTTTTTTTAATATTTCACTTTCACTGATTGTTTTTACTTCCATGCAGAAAATTTAGATCTACCTAAATCAATTTGTTCCATTTGTTCAAAAAATACATTTTAAATAATCATTATATAATTATTTAAACTTCAAAACATATTTCAAAAATCGAAAAGTGATAAATTTGCTCAAAAATAGACTAGTTCCTTAATTTCTATTTAGAAAAAACTATATCTTTTTTTCAAAAATATTTTTGTTTTATTATTTATTCCTTGAACAATAATGTAAACCTAAAATTATTGAAATGAATCTTGAAATAAATAAAAATTATTGAAATATTTTTTCTTAAAATTATCATTACGTTGACCTTTGTACGAATCTCTGTGTTAGGAATAGATATAATAAATACTAAATGATTATATGTTTTTAAATATTGTTTTATTTAATAATATTAAATTAATCTGCATTATCTGAAAATGTCTATAATAACGTTTTGATTTCCAATGTTCAAAATTATGTAGGCTGCATATACAATATTTATTTATTTATTTATTTATTCATTCATAAAAAATAATTCATTATAATTATAGATGCGATTTGAAAAAAGATCAAAATGTTCGGCACGTGTATCACTATTTCATAAATTGGTACGTTTTCATTTCCATTGTATTAATTTAAACGATTTTTAATACATTTCCTGTGCCGAAATTAATGATATGCAACAAAATTATTTAAGATTTTGATGATTTGATAGTATGTATAAAAATGGTCAGCCGGGTTCTATAAACGTATAGTTTGATACGAAAAAATTGAAAATATATTTAAATCTTTCCAAAAAAAAATATTTCAAAGTATGATGAAAACGTTTTTATTTTTAGCTGTAGCAATTAATTCAGCGATTTCGTGGGTAAGCTGAATTAAACCATCTTTATTTAAATTAATTAAAGTAAAATATGATTAATTTATATTTTTTCAGCGCGGTTATAAAATTGTACTGCAAGATGTAAAAGTAATCGATTACAATAAAGATGTCGTAAGCAATTTAACAGTAGGTGTTCACAAAAATATTGGCCATGTATTTATGCAAATAAAAAAAGATATTACTAGCCCCGTTTATGTAAGTAATTACAATAACACTTTTTTAATTAATTTGTTAATTGGAATATTCTTAATTTCAGATTGGACTTCTGGCGTACCAAAAATCAAAAAATGGTTTTGATAATTTAACAGTTAATGTTACTTCAGATTTGTGCAAATATTTTGATAATCCAAAAACTAGCCCGATTGTTAATGCCGTTTTTCCTACTTTTACAAAAAAAGGAAATTTTCCTAGACACTGTCCTATAAAATCGGTAAGTAGGAACAAATGTGTTTTCAAATAATATAAAGTGAGTAAAATATATAACTTATAATATTAAAATAAATGAAAAATATTATATTATCATGATGCAAAATATTATTTTATCGTATAATGGTTATTTTGTACAAATATTCCAAATATTGTAACATTTTATTTTAGGAATATTTAATATTTTATTAAAATTATTAATTCGAACGGAATTCGGTCGATCAGGTCTAAAGTTTAAAATTACAATGTTTATCCAAAAATATATATATAACTAATTATAATTAGTTACATTTAGAAAATTCGCGTACTGTTGCGTAAATAGTCCCCAGTTTGATAATGTTATGTAAAAGATTTCAAAATAAAAATTAATTAAGTAGTAAAAATTTAATATTTAAGGGCAATTACATAGCACATGGTATAAAAGTCGATGAAGAATTGCTGCCTCCGTACATACCTGGAGATGAATGGAAATTAGAAGTTCGATTTTCTGATAAAAACAATATTGCATTATTTGCTTTGGAAAACTATGTTATGATTGACCACACGCCCGGAAAAGATAAATTTAGCTCCCTCTTAAGCTAGATAATTATTAATATATATACATATATATATATATATATATATATATATATATATAAATAAAGAGAAATCTTTATGAAAATACGAAATAACAATTATTAAAAATGTAATACAAAATAAATGTAATACTATAGAATGTGTAGCACCTTATTTGCATAAGTATTATTGTGTGTTCTGTTTATAATTAATTTATGGGGCTTAAGTATGCCAACCCGGAACATTCCTGAAATCTTCATGGGAATCACGGCGTCTTAGACAGTTGTCACATACGAACGAGGACTGAGTAAAATATTCCTTGAACAAGAATATATTATCTGTACACTAGAGATTTGTTCAAGTTCAATTTTAAAGCTAATAAGAAAGATGCAAAAAAAAACTTAAGGCGGATTTCAATTGCAAGAAACGCAATTAAACTTTGCGGAAGTTAATGTAAAATATGCAAAACTGTAGTGTGCATTAAATTTTATAAGAGATCAAGTGACATAGTTGATCTCAAAATAGTGTTAATGTACCGTTTCATTAAATAATATTAAATGTCTTTAAATAAATAAATAACTGCTTTAACTTCGGTCTTTGTCGTATAAAGAAAATTATCTCTTAGCCATGATAAGCAGTAATTACGTAATGTTTTTGATAATATTTGTATAAGGTGTGTTAATTTGTTGTTACTCATAATAATTTGAATATTTAAGTCTGTAATTTCATTTTATTTATCTATTCATAACATGAGAAAGCTATTTAACATTGTCATAAAATTTATTTACAATATAAACAAAATACAACAAAAATATTCAACAAATTATTAGCTACTATATCTATAAAACATTAAAACTTAATTTACTAACTTCCTAACATTCAGCTGCTTTGGTATTTGCTCTACGTGATTTTAATATGCTGGATATAAAGAATTCGCCAGCTTTGTAAGAACTTCTAACTAAAGGACCACTGGCTGTATATAGAAAACCTAGCTCAGCACCTCTATCTTCCCAATGTTTGTACTTAGCAGGAGTAACGTACTCAACAACTTTCAAATGTCTTTTCGTTGGTTGCATATACTGACCTAATGTTACGCAATCTACACCAACATTACGTAAATCTAAAAAATCGTAAATTAAATGTAGTACAATGTAAATCAAATATTTATTTTGCAATAAGAAATATCAAAGTGAACGTATTCGATTTTCAACTTCTCGTGGGGTAAGTTTCTTTGGTAAGTGCAAAAAATCAAAAATCAAAATTTTCAATTTCAGATTCAAAGATTTCTGAATATTTTGACATTCCTTAAAAAAAATTAATGTATGTATGTATGTATGTACACTATCCTGCAAAAGTTTGGGCTCATTTAGGAAAGTTGTTGTCTTCTTTATTCATCACTTTATTCATTATTCTCATACAGTTTAATATAACAGATTCGTTGAGAATTACATTCAATTTACGAGTTAAAAACATTTACATGTGATATTTTTGTGGAAAAACGAAAAAAATCAATCCAGCCGTTTTTCATCAATACGCCGGCCTTTCGATTTGATGATAGCCCCACAAATTTTCAAATGATGATGCATCGAGTAAAAGTTAATTTGGTTCGAAAAATAGTTAATGTAATACAAAGTGACAAATTGTAACATAGTACATTTTACAATATTTCGAAAATTAACATATTTCTGTAGAATAAATAATTGAGAATTTAAAGGAAACACTCAAAAATCATTTTTAAAATGTTTTTTTATATCAATATGTACATTAAACCATCTGAGGAGAACGATAAATAAAGTGACTAAAAAAAAAACGATTTTCCCAAGTGAGTCCAAACTTTTGCAGGGCAGGGTAGTGTATGTTTGTATGTATGTACGAATACAAATTTCGGAAATTTCCAGAGGTTTCAAAAATCCAATAAAAACGTTTAAAAGATGCCATTTAGCGGTCAAAAATAATTATTAGTCATAGGCACATCACAAATTTTAATAAACACAAATTTTATTTACAATTATATGGGTTCTGTACCAAGATTTATAATGTTTAACCGCTACGACGCAACGCTTAGGCGCTTTTATATTTGGCATCTCAGACAGCCACGCAGTGCTTTGGAAAAAAAACTAAAGTTTCAAAAAATTTCAATATACTTAAAAAAATTTGGTATATCAAAATTTTCAAAAAACTTTAAAGCGTTTAAATTTTATAAATAACAGCGTGGTAAGTTCCAGAATTTTGCCTTAAGGCACAATGCCATATCCCACTAATTAATACTATGAATACCTTTCATTGTCTGTTCTACTTCTTCATCAGTTTCTCCTAAACCAAGCATAATAGAAGACTTAGTTATCAAATCAGGATTTATTGATTTCGCTGCTTCAAGAACTTTCAATGTTTGTCTACAAAACAAAAGTAAATAATATTAACAATCATATTTTACAAGTAATACAAAAATTGCATCTGATATTGCACCTGTAATTTGCTCGGCGATCTCTCACAAAAGGTGTCAAAGATTCCACTGTTTCAATGTTATGAGCATATACATCTAAACCACAATTAGCAATGGTTTTAACACATTCCAAATTTCCGCGAAAATCAGGTACAAGGCATTCTACTAATATATTAGAATTTCTAGCACAAAAAAAATAAAATTATTTATTGACTAAATATTACAATTCCGTCAACAATACATACTGTCTTTTGATTTCTTTCACAGTTTCTGCAAAATGATTGGATCCTCCGTCAGGCAGATCTGGGTTTTGATAAAAACTGTTATATTGAATCAAAATATCAAGAATTTATTATCAATTTACCATCTCGGTCAACGGATGTGAGGACTATGTAATCAACACCCCATTTAGCTATAGCTGTAGCTGTGTTAACAGGTTCATTCGGATCCGGCAAAGGTGGAGCTCTTGAAGTTTTAATAGAACAAAATCTGCAACCTCTTGTGCATGTATCTCCTAATAACTGTAATCAGAAGCTACCTCTATAAAGAAATAAAATATAGGAAAACATTATATTACCATTATTGTGGCAGTTGAAGTTCCATGAGTTCCACCTCCCCAACATTCTCCAATATTTGGGCATCTTGCTTCTTCGCATACAGTATTCAATTTTAAATCACGTAATTGAGTCTTGACTTTACTGAAATTTGTACCTAAAGAAAAAACAAATATTTACTTTTTACAAATGTATTATATTGTATCCAATAGTTTTTAGAAATCTATTAAAAACCATATGTTTCGGCTAGCATCTTAGCCTTCATTTAGGGCAAGCAATAAAAAATTTTGTATTGGTATGAGTATGTAAAATATTTATTTAACATCACGTCACGAAATGGTATATAGGCAATTATATCAAAGACTCTGAATAGTCAATACATAGTTTCGACAACTTATTCATGTTTATTTGTATGTTTTGCAATTCATGATGTTAAAAAATATATATTTTGCGCCTGTGCACATACTCATTACCATGGAGTAATATAAATGTCTATATATTATTTCTGTTATATTAGGATACAAAATTTTAGATTGATTGCCCCTAAATGAAGGCCAAGATGCTAGCCGAAACAAATAGTTTTTATTAGATTTCTAAAAACTATTGGATACAATGTAATATATGGAGAATACAATGTAATAGCATGAGCAATACTGCTACTGCATAGTTAGTATTTTGACCTTTATATAGTAGATTATAATATTATTTATAATTATTACAAATGGGTGAATACCCCTAACATATATATATATATATATATATATATATATATATATATATTTCCATACAAAATTTTGAATGAATTGCGCTCTATCTAAACGTTAATATTAAGAGCTAAAACTTTCAGAGAATTGCTTTTTATCAATTTGGAACATTTGAGCCCTTGGAAGCAAGGAAATTCGAAAATGTCCATATTGAGGACCACCCTAATATATATATACATATATATATATATAAATAATATATATATATATATATATATATATATATATATATAGTTCTTGCTGACGTATCCATACATATATACATAATTTTCATGGTATATAATTTTTATACCTGTAGGTATTGATGTTTTCAGCCATGGTGGCAAGCGAAGTCTCTGATCTTCACCTTTGGCTCGTTTTAACTTTCCCTGATAGTCATTCCATTTCGTAACATCTATTTGTTCATCTTCTCTAATAAAATCTTGAAATGATGGTCCACTAGCTAACTTTGTCCTAATTTCTTCTAATTTAGTGCTTTTCAATCGCAAGTTCTGCAAGGTCTAATACATACATTAATAATAATATAGTTTACATCTTTTACAACATAGCATGAATAAATGATTTTTAGAACCTATCTTTTATATCATCTTTCGGATGACAAAAAGAATGTTATTTGTGCAAATACAAAATTATGAAAACGAGCTAAAAATATTTTAGATTCTTAGTTGAGATAAATATTTCTATTCTGACGATTTATATTTCAATCAATCTACATATGAAAACTTACCTCATAATTCTTAGAGCTTACATGCTTCTTTAAACCACTAAACATTTTTTGAGTATTTATTAACTAAAAACACGGTAAAATAATATTAAAATCAAAGAATTTAAAACAGTTTCTCGGATCTATGAAGCATAAGATTTGACATCCATTTGACATTTATTACACGTGCAAGAGTAAATGTCTCATCAGGCAATGCCAGCAACCCAACAAAAAAAAGAGAAAAATCGAAACTGTTAATGTTAAATAAAATATTTGATTAAACAGTTATTTAATTAATTATCAATTTTGAAACACATTTGAAAATACATAGATTTTTAAGCTGAAAATAACTGTCAAGGAAATGTCTATCCTCAAATATTGTAATGTGTGAAGTAACAAATTCAATGATTAACTAGTTGGAACTCATCAAACCAATTTGGACATAAGGCATACAGCTATGGGGATCAACTTCCAACTCAAACGCTTTAATAATTCAAAGATTTCAAAACAAGTTATTAAAAGAAATTTTGAAAGCACCAAAGTATGTTCCAAATTGGTTAATACACAAAGACACAGGCACTAGCACAGTTAAGGATGAAATAATCGCTTACTCACACAAATATAGAAATCGCCTAGCTGATCACCCGAACTTGCTCGCGAGAAAACTTCAAATCAACTCTACCAGGGCCCGATTAAAAAGAAAATTTATTCTGCACTAATCAACAATAGATAAGACCTTCGACAAATCACTGGCAATGGTCAGATGATTTGTATTTTGCCAACGCCTTCAGTTTCATGTCAAATATTTTACTTGTTGTCCGTTTCAGGACAGTTGTAAAAATTATTAAAATAATAAAAAAAAAAAAAAAAAAAAAAAAAAAACTAGTTGGAACTTCCCGTACCAAAAATTAATTTTTTTAAAAAAGATTAAATTTAATACTTTGTAATTGTATTTAATACTTTGTAATTGTTCAAGCAAATTCTTTACAGAATATGACTTTTTAGTGAATGAATTGGCTGCTAGAGCTTTGACGAAAACTAATCAATATATAATGAAAATATATTTGACAATTGCATATACGAATATATACAAAACGTATCATAGACAATTAAATTTAAGTATATTATTTATTAACATGAAATGAGCTTTGATTCATGATTCTTTCTCAATATGTAAAATTATCATAAATACAAATTTGCCTAAAGTAATTAATGTTAATAAAAACAAATATAATTAACATTAAAAAAAAATGTAATTAGGTTTTACATAAATAGTCACTACTGAGATTGAAAAATCGTTAAATAATAAATTATGATTCACAATTTTCAAAATAAAATATATTTTTACTAATCTGCTTTTGAACTTGATAAGTCCAGCTTGAATATATATTACAAAACAATACAAGTAATAAACAATAATAATAATCAAACCTTAAAATCAATTTGATCATAAAAAATTACTTTGATACAATTTATTTTATTCCAAGTTTTTGTTTGATGATAAATTGTGGTAATCTCTTTCCCTTCCAGAACCTTGGAATTGGTGTCTCTGTAGCTTGTCTAATTTTTTCAGAGACATATTGTTCAGCTGAAAACTTTTCTGCTTCTCTTATTTGAGTAAGAAGCATTGCTTGAAAAGCCTTTTCCTTGCGCAGTTCACGTCTTTGACGAACCTAGCGGCATTTCAAATTTGATAAATTGTGTCAAATTAATTACTAGCTGGTTTCTGTTAATGATTATTTACCTTGGCCCATTCAAATTTCATCTTCTTTCTGAGCTTTCTTAGTTTATGTTTCTTCATTTTTCTTCTACGAATAACAATCAATCTGGCTGCTTGAATACCTTTGCTATCTGATACAGTATTATTTGGTAATTCGAAAGAATCTGTGAAAAATATCTATATTTAATTTAAACTTTAAATATATGTAATGATTGAGTATACCATTTAGACTTACCATTACTGTTCTTACAAATATCAATAAGTGGTGATTTGTGCACTGTTGTATCTATTACCTCTTTTATTGTCGGTATATCAATAGCAGGTAAAGGTATTATAAAATTTCCGACATTTATTGTTAGATCATTTTTAGCGGATAAATGTTGGGTGATACATGGGTCATACTTGGCCTTTATAGGGGTAGAATTGAATTTATTTATAGCAGTCGAGTGGGAAATATTGCGAATGTTAATGAAATTACCATAAGCAGCTGCAAAAATATATTTTAAACATGAAAATATATAAGATTGAAAATTATATGTTAGGTTATGGTTCTCCACATACTTTTTAATGATGTAATCCTATCGAAACATTTTAAATAACGTAATGCCATATTTGATTTTAGTATATTGTTCAATATTACATTAATATATTATGATTTTTGCAACTTGTATGCAATAATTTTCATAATATCTTCACATGTTTTTCTCTTGGGTACTTGACAGCTAATGAATGTTCTGCTCCTAGACAATATAATAATTCTGCTTTCGCTCACTGGAATGGGCGCTGTTGGCGACTTAAAAAATTTAAAAATCGATTTCGTAAAGTCTATGCCGTTATATTTATATAATATACACATATTTTGCATTATTACCATATTATTTTTAAGAAAACATTATTACCATGCGCTTTTGGTATTTTCACTATTTATCAAAAGCTAAGCTTTTTTGCAGTCACATGCACAAATATCAAAAGTGTAACACTTGCTAACAAAACAAGTAGAAAATAGAATTTCAAAGAAAAAAAGAAAATATTATTCGTAAAACTAATTATTCATTACAACTTCGGTTTGGAAAAAATAATGATGATTTTAACAAATTTGGTACTGATTCAATTATTTGTTCATATATGTTTATTAACAAAATTCTTTCAAATTTTCTAATCAGTTTTATATTTCCATGAGTCCAATGCATTGTGTTACTTTTTTAAATTTAAATATATTCACATTTAAAATAATAATGCCTGTATGGAAAAGAAAAATTAAACAAAAAGTAAATTAAATCAACATATAATTCCAGATTTTATTGAAATATATAACAGTTCTTATTACTCTTACTTGTTTGAAAAGTTCTCAAATACTTAAGACATTGTAATTTAATGCATTTATGAAGATAATGAATTAAAATAATTATTCGCATTCTTATAAAAATAGATGTAATACATCAATACACAAGTTGGAACTTAGATCGTAAATCAGATATATAATTTATTTGAATAAATTTAGCAAGTTCTTAAAGATAAATAAACTTTCTCAAATTCCAATAAGATCTATTTATCCATATCATTTAAGTCTTGTTTGATTTCAATTCTCAATTGTTGCCAGTGAAATCTGCCTTCTAACTGTTTTGGTTTCAATCTCAACATACCAATTCGTTTTTATTGATGCTTTTTCAGCAATATAATATTTTAACACAAAGATTAAATAAAAAGTAGAAAGAATGTTAACTTCAGAGTCCAATTATTTCAAGTGTGGTTGCATTTGTGATGGCCTAATACAATACAATACAATAATTATAATTAGAAGAAATAAAGAATACTTATATAAACTTAACCTACAAAATGTATTTTCAAAAAATTACATTTTACATGTTATTTGTATAAAACAAACAGTGTACTCCCAAAGTGTAATTGTTTTATTAATGGGAAGTTTGTTTCAAATTTACCTTAGAAGACAATAACTTCCAAAATGAAACTTGAACTAGAGTAGTAATTAATATAGGAAATCTTATTTAATAAATTAATGGGTAACTAAAACCTTATTCGAAAACTTGGTGTCAATTAACACCTAACTAAATACTAAATCTTTACATCTTTGTAAAAATAGCAGAAATCACAAGTATACAGCACCGCTTTTAAATCATAGTGGCATACACGTCAGTAATAAAATGGGTGTCAACATCCTTTTCTTGTATTTCTATATTAATCTAAGGCCTTTGTAACAGTAATTGTATGTGAATTTATTGTTTAGCAGTTGCTGTGTTTTCTCTACGAATATGCTGTGGGTTATTATTGCCACCCCTGCTTCCACGACTGTTTATCATACCTGGTTGACCAGTCGTTCTTTGTCCGGGTCTTGAGGCATTTGCACTTCCTCTCGGGGCACCCCTGCCACGACCACGATATACATAACCTCCTTGATAGCCTTGGTTATCTCTGTTGTAATTGCTACTGCCACCATTTTGATTTTGATAGTAATTACTTTGTTGATCATTATTTCTATAATATGTGTTGCCAGAATTAGGCCTTCCCGAACTGCCATTTTGCTCTCTGTAATTGTTGCCAGATGCATTTCCTCCACGACCCCTGAAAGTATTGCCACCTCGGTTTCCTATTCTTGCTCCACGTCCTCTGAATCCACCTCTGTTGTATCCATCTCCTTGACCTGACCAGGTTTCCTGTGCAGCAGCATCATTTGACCAGTCCACATTACTACCATCTGGCGTGGAATCATGGCCTGAGGAATGCTGCTTTTGATTTTGTTGCCTTTGGTGCCATGCATTTGTTGTGATGTTTGCAACAGGTTCAGGTTCTGACTCACACCAATCAGTCTTTTCTGAAAATTTATGAAATACACACAGAATTCATAAGTATTCTGTTAAATGCTCCAATTAACATGCATTAATTTATTTCATTATAAAATTTCAATAAAAGCCATGGTTAAGAAATTTTATGAAGGAATTTCATTAATTGAATTCATTTGAAATAATGAAATACTATTTTTTTTATGGATTTTAGTTTCTTTACAAGAATATAAGAATTTGTTATCAGATATCCAAAAATTAAGCTGGTGACACTGCTACAAAATATTTAATTTAATATGAACTGTTTAGCTTTTTAGGCAACTTATTATTAATTGTGAATAAAAGTATTAAAAAGCTACATTACTTAATATTGAATACTTTACTGCAAATTTAGATATTTAATTATATCACCATCAGACATTATATAATATATGTATGCATATTATTTATATCAGAATATAATCATGAAAGTATAAATTGTAATTGTGCTTACCAGGAACATCCCCAGAAGGTATTTTTTCTTCTTCAGGTTTAGACTGCATTATAACCTTAGAAGAATTTGAGATAACTTGCGTTGCAGTTTGTGTTTGTGAAACAGGGAATGGTACACTCACAGGTTGACTTGTGAATTGCTGTGTCTGGACGACACTTGATGGTAAAGGCTGAGAAACAGACACAGGTTGTTGACTGATTGACTGTGATTGTTGAGGCATCGGTATTGGCATATTGGGATTTGTGAATCCTGGAATGTGCTGCTGGTTCATTTCTGGCACCTGTAAAAAGTCAAAATATGAAGATTTGCTTTGAGATTAATAATATTAAAGAATCTCAAGTTTTTTTTTTAACATTTTTATTGTACAATTTGTAGAAAAATGTGAGAAGAGATTGTTAACATTTTATATGAAAAAGAAAAAATGGTTCAATATTAGTAGAGACTGCCAGAAAGAATGTACTAAGAGTGATCTTACAAACATATTTGAATATTAATACTCAAATTACATCAAAATGTAGATTATTAATATTACAATACTAATTATTATTATGTGAATACAGCTCAAAAAGTAAATTGATTTCTTTCATTTATGTGCACTTAAAATATCAGTTTAATTACATGAAATAGATTAGAATACATGATAATTAATAATGCTCATTTAGAACAGCTAAAAAGTTCCAAATATCAAAATTTGATTATCTAACAACCGTAAGAAACAGATTTAGAGCTGACCAAAATTGAGCTTCAATTTCCCTTTTAGTCAATTACTAAATTGATACCCATTTCTTTATATTTCTCTATACATATGTAATTTAACAAAATAATTACTCACAGGCACTTGAGTAGGAGTTGGTACTGGGTGAGTTGGAAACATCGGAGTGGCAACATTTGGCATTGGTGGAACTCCTGGGAATGTCTGACTTGTGAATGTTTGGGTTGGTATAGGACCAGGCTGAGGCGCTGATACCGCTGAGTGTCCAGAAGGTGGTGGTGTGTTTCTGGGTGCACCTAAATATGAAACTTTTATTATTACATTTTTCAAATGTAATTATAGTTTTATTTATAATAAACCATTGAATCTAAGGTGTTGTAAATATAATAAAGTTAAATGTTTTTAGTTATTAAAATGAATATTTTTACCTGGTGTTATCAGTGGAGGTTGTCCAGAAACAGGTGCTGTTACTTCAGGAGAATCCAATTCAGATTCTTGAAGGAAATAAAACCCAGCATTCGATTGAATCATATCTGTGATTGGCCTCTGTTGCTGCTGCTGCTGCTGCTGTTGCATGTATTGTTGTTGTGCAAAGTAAGCATGTTCAACAGATTGTACCGTTGGTAGGTGAGGCAGCGCTGCATTAGGAACAGATAGAGGCTGTGCAGCAACTACTGGAACAATTCCTGGAGGTACTTGAGGAATCACCTAATGCATAACAAATTGATATGAAAATGCCAAGAATGGAAGTAGTTGCATTTTTCAAAAATTGTATGATTAGTATTTCCTTCACAAGTTATAAACTTGTGAAGTTTCAAGCATTCAAATAAAATCAATCACATTTGCATTAAAGATATAAATTACAGATAATAACCTGTGTTGGTAGTGTTTGCAAAGCAGGTGCCATTTGTTGATGTTGAGGTGGAGGGAATGCTGGTGTAGGAACAGCATTGGGAGCAGGTGCTTCAGCATTTACAGCAGGCCGTGACGAGATATTCACTTGATGTGGAAGGGAAGCAGTTTGCTGTGGAATAAGATTTTGATGAACATGCGACTCTTCGGCAGCTTCAACTGAGACGAGTTGATTTCCAAGATCAGAGTCAGCAATAAGTTGAGGAGATTCAGAAGTGTCGGTTTCAACAACATTATCAATATCCGTGTTGTCGGCTTCCTCAGGAACCTAAACAATAAAAAACTAAATGAACACAAAAATATATACAAACAATTATGAAAGAAACTAGTTAGAAACAGTAATTAACTGGCTAGATTATGTTTATATTCTAAATATAATTTGTCAAGTAGATACTAATTTTAAAGTTGAGCTATAGAACTTACTGCAGTGTCATTAACAACTTCAGTTTTGCTCTGAGCAAAATATTCACAACTTGCTATACTTTTCAACAAATCTCGAATACTTGTATATGTTCTGCCAAAAGCTTCTTTGGGTTTTCCTTCAATAATGGCCAACATATGTTCTGAGCTTCGTTGTAATAAAACATTGAAAGACTCTTCAGAATCTTCACGTTTAGGTGTAATTTCTTCATAACTAAAATCAAATGATTAATTGATATCAATTGAATTGATACTGTATGGTAATTAAGTGACAATGAATAATATACTACTCAAAGTTATTTTCATCTATATAAACACACAAGGTCAAAGTTATTTTCTATATACTTCATCTAATTATGAAAGAGTTAATTTATTTTAAATGCATAAAGTAGCATTAGATAATAATCTTAATTAAATATAGAAACTATTAAATATTTATTTTAATTTTAATCCTGAATTACATCAATTGCAATGAAATCCTCAGTGACTTACAGCTTGTCTAATAAGGTAAAATCTTCCTCCGATAATTGAATCGCGCCATTTTCACCAGCCAAAAATTGACTCCGTACTTCGTCTGCCCCAAGCTCCGACAAAATATCCTGGATAAGAAGAACCTCTCGGATATTTTGCAAATTTTGTTGTACCCGTTGCAAAGTTTCCTATCAAAAATTTACAAAACATTTTTATAACATTTATTACATAATATATAAACACAAACCATAGTATACACATTGAAACAATTATGCATATTAATTATTAAATATGTTTTTACTGCATTTCATACATGCATCAACAATTCAAGGTTTTACATAAACTGTATTCATATAAATATTTGAATATATATATTATACAGACCTTCCTGGCTAATTTTTTTGCTTCTTTTTCAGATGAAGTCGAAATTACATTGAAGCTCTTGATTAATTCTCGAGCAAATTCAATAGTATTAATGACTTCATCATACTTGGCCACTGCAACTTTCTGATCTGCATTGAGTTCTTTACCAGATTTCTGTAGATCTCGATAACCTTCTAATTTACCCTGCATAAATACATTTTAATAAGCACAAATCAAATAAGACATGGTGGGTTACAGATATTTAAGTGTTTAGAAATTCTCCAAGTATATATATTAAACGCAAATAGTATCAGAATAAAATATATTTCCGTCATCATTAAGCTCACAAAACAATTAAGATGATCCTACTGAGAAGAATGAAATGAAATGAATAAATTGATATACTAGTTACATATACAAAATGCAAAAAATAGTGCATTTAATTTGCTGGAAATTATACACTTGGTGTGTACAGTAGACCCTAGTTTATACAAGAAACAAAGGCAATAACCCAAAGCTGAAAAATTAAGCAGAGCGTATATTTGTTTGAGTAAATCCCATGGCATTTGTATGTTCTCGGATTACAACATTTTTATCCAGTATCGAAAACGCCCGCATATCAACGCACATGTACATATAAACATGGCGTCACATTGACAAAAGCCGAAATGTCATTTAGAGCCGGTGTAATCGCATATTTATGTTCACAATATAATATTAAACTATAAAATTGCGCAAGACCCGATGAAAAAAAAACATACAAAAGCTTCAGCCTCAACCCAGCACTGCACAGATCTAAACTTTTCTATGACTATTTTTTCTACTGTCAAGGAGAATGAAGCACTCACCTTTCGTTTTTCCAAATTCCTTATTTTGTGTTCTATAACTACTATAGCTTGTCTGATGGGTGTGTTATCAACAACCTCCGTGGAGGCCTGTTTTTCTAGCTTTGGATTAGCGGCAGAAGGCATCCTTCACGGGCAACAACTAGAGCTGGAATGGATATATAAAAACGCGCAAGATTCTAACCAACAAAGAAAACGAAATCTGTTCTGTACATTGATGCGAAACGCAAAAGCAAACGCGGGTTGTTATGTTGGCAGGATTGCCAAGAATCACCAACACTACTAATAAAATTGGAATGCGCGCTGAATTTAAGATGCCTTCATTATTAAATTTATATTAAAAATTGTAAATACAGTATAATTAATTAATATATTTAAACAAATGTTAAGACAGTTAAAATTGTAAGGACAATTATTCTGACTAATAAATAAAAGAAACATGGCGTCACAATATAGAATTTTTCGATTCGATACAATCGAATGATGAAACGAGTATTTTTAATATAAAAAACAATTTGATTGATACTAAACTGAAAATTAAAAATAGTGGTGTGTGGCATCGTGCTTTCAAATAGATTACCATAAATACTCTAGCTTTTATTATTCGTATTTTATAGACAAAATGTAAGAGTTTATAAATTAAATGAAAAGTTAAAATTATTCATTGAAAGTAAATATGTGAGCTTTAATATTTTAGCTAGAATAAAAATTATAATCCGAATCATTTTCGATATTCAAACAAAAAATATTTTTATGGAAATTAGAAAAAATGAAATTTTGAACTGAAAACATTTTTTTTTTGTTTTCGTCAAAATCTAATTGCATCTTCACAAGCTTAATGTTTTTTGAATCATTCAAATCGGATACACTGTTTTCTCAAACACTTAATTTCCATTTTCTGCACTCTTTGCTTCGTATCTTAGAAATGGTTGAACTGATATTTCCCAAAAACTAATCAGCACTAATCCGCATAAATAGGAATCAAATGCTTTTTGAATCATTCAAATCGGTTGAGCGGTGCTCACGAAAACATCGACAAAAAATTGTATCCACATATCCACATCCATTTTTTCTGAGGTATGCCAAAATGCTCAAAAACATTTGAAATGTGAAGAAGAAAGTGACATCTTGTATATTTAAATTTAAATTTTTGTTTGATGTACTTTTTATGTATTCGTGTGTGTATGTAAGTTTTCTGGGTTTAAATTACTTAAATGTTACATATTTAATATCGAAAAATTCAGAATTAATTTTGTCTATCAAAGTTAGTCTATGTAATCGTCTATCAAAGACAAATTTGTCGCTAATATTATATATATACATGTCATGTGATGAAAACTTCAAGAATAAATTATAAAAATATAGATTTTAATTTATAATAAAACATATACAAATTATATTTACATTACTTAGATTTAGATACATTAACAAGAATGGGTTATAGTCCAACTATCTTACTGCCAAGATTATTTAACTTTGCTGTTGCTTGTCTAGAAAATTTCTTGAATGCTTCGTATGGATACTGCAAATTTAATATTAATTAATTAACAATGCATCTAAACAAACAGTATTCACTATTAATATTTTTTAAATAAATTATATAATAAAATAAACATTGCAACATACAAAAATTAACTATTAGAAATTTTAAATTGAAAAAAAAGTAAATAAAACAATTTTCTTTGAAGGCTATTGTTCTTGAATACAAGTGAGATGTTTATCAACAAAAATAACATTTAATGATTATTTTTGAAATTATATGTCTTATATTGTTATGATCTGAATTTTCCAACAAATTGTAATGATTTATTGCGAGATTAGATTTTAAATTTTAAATATTAATAATATATAGGTATATAATAATTATAAAAAAATACAAACTCTTCTAAGGATTATATACTTACATCTACAACTTTATTAATTAAGTTTGAAAGCCCTTCAAAGCCACTCACTACAGCTCTGCCAACAGTACTGAATTTATCACCTGAGTTGCCATATTTTTCATCTTCTGATATTGTGTCTACGATAGGCTGTGGCTAAAATTGATTTATTATTGTTTAACAAATGCTAATTATTAATATAAATTACTGATTTTAAAATATTAACCTGCCAGTTTCCAGTTAGTAGAGCTTGCAGTTGCTCCATAAAAGTCAATTTAGTACTAAAAGGCCCTTCTGTTTCTAATACTGCATACTCAATTTTTCTAGGTGCGGTATCAAATAACGACTAAAATTGAAATATAAAACCAAGAATAATATTATTAATTGATTATAATATTATAATAAAAAAAATATTTGCGCACTTATCATAAGATCATGTGTTATTTGTGTTCTATATCTTTTACTAGCTTAGCTAAAAAAATATAACAATATTAGGGGGCGTCCATTAATCACGTGATGTTTTTTGGGAGACGGGGGGTTTGAAAAAAATCACGAAATATTATATGGGGGAGGGAAGAGTACAGTAAGATATCACGCATATTTATTTTTTAACTGTTTTTTTTTTTTTAATCAAACATTTTCAAAAAAAATACAAAAATTTTACCTATTTATCAGGTGACTAAAAATGCACGTGATGGGGGATGGGGGGTAATTTTGAATATCACCATGTATCACCAAGGGGGAAAAGGAGACCAAAAATGCTTAAAAACTCGATCACGTGATTAATGGACCCCCTTATATAGTAATTTGTACAGTTTTCTTCAAAATCAAAATATTTAAAATTCTTGAAAATATTATGCAATAAAGGTAATTGTTAAAAATACATTTTTGTATAGTATTGTATTTTTGCGCTGAAGTTGCAAGTGATTCCCGCATTTTTATAATCTTCTTTTGAAAATTTATAGTGCAGTATATTTATAATTCTACCTATTTCTCCTATTTTTATGACAAGTTTTCTATATTGAAAAAATTGTAACATTTTTATGATCTATATTATAAATCTATATTTAATCAAAAAGATTTTATATAAAATTAAAATTGCAAATAGAACTTATGAGACCAATAAACTGTTTTGATAATACTTCTTACCAATGTGGCTTTATAGAATGTAACCCAATGGTTGGACTAATGATGTATTTGATATATTTTTCCTTGATATATTTTCATAATTAGAATTTTTACGTTGATGATATGTTTTTAATTTGATGCACCACCGGAAAGGGCTATTTTCACTTGTCAACATATTTTAAATCAACATAAAATCAATATCACTACTGAGTTGCAACATCAAAGCTCTAACCACGAATAGTAAAGAACATAAATAATTTTAAACATTACTTTTGTTATAGAAATCGAGGCTGATGGCGCAATGATATTTTCAGACTGCACACTTTGCCCGCCGACCAGATCTACTTTGAGTGGCCCGGACACCGAAGCGGAAAAACTTGCGGAAACAGTTGTAGTTTCCGTAGGAGCTCCCAAAATGCACGAAGTGGCGGTTAAGAATATGAAAATAACGCCAATCATCTATAAACGATAGTGAAAAATGAAATATTAATCATTTAAAAATTAACTTAGGCTACAATAAAAAAAGATAATAAATTATGAAAATTTCAAATTTTTAATTCATTTAAGAGCAAATTAAAGTAAATAAGGATGGCTTGTCCACAGTAGACTGTTAGAAACACTTCCAGTTATTTATATTATACCAAAGAATCAAAGAAAATTGAATAAAAACAAATTTTATAAATTATCAAAATTACAATTATTGAAATAATTATCTTTCTTCGATTTAAATCTTCTTGTAAATTGAACGAGATCATACCTTGCTATTTTCAAACGATCATATTTGTATTAGAAATGACTAGATTTCCTTGGACTACTTTCAATTAAAAATTCAAACAAAAACTAATACTTGATATTACTCAGACTTTGCGAAACTTTGTTAGATTTAGACATTTTCCATAACCGCAAATTATGAAAATATGGTTGTTGAATTTGTTTGAATTATGAAATATAATTTGTTTGCTTATGGGTATAAATTATTGACATGATTTTTGTAAATTAACTAAAAGCTGTATGGTAATAAAAAAAAACCTTCAGTATCTCTACCATATGAATACATCATTTTGTTCTATTATTGTCTAGGATTTCTACCAATCTGTGCAATGTTACCGGAACTGATCAAATAATCAATTGTTATAAACATTTGATTTTGATGGCAACTTTTCTGTACATGTAAAAAGTTTGAAAATGATGTTCCGTTTTTGATAATTTTTAATAGAATGAACGGAACACATTATTATAGAACGCAGTTTAACTGATATAAGAAAAATAGTAAAAAATATTAGAAAAATTTTACTTTATGAAGTCACTTATTAGATTGTTTGATTTGGTTTTGGACACAAATGTGTCCTGAAAATTATGTTATAAATAAACATATAATTGAAAATTATCTAGGAAGCCAATTAAAAAAAAAAAAAATAAAAAAAAAATCTGATCAATTAAAATAGTTCTTGTAGTCGAACATCGTTGATGAATTAGTTTAATGATATTTTGATAAATACTATTATATTTAATTATTTAAAATTACTGCAATTTGAAAGTTTAAGTTTTGCAAATATTCATTATAAATATAACAATATATATATTGTTGTATAGTTGGGACTATAGTCACCAGAAAAAACAAGTAGTCAACATATATATTTAAAAATCACAAAAAATATAAACTCTCACTTATAAAAAATTCTTTAAAAGTTTCAATAAAAATTAAATAACTTACATTTAATTATTCTTATCAATCACGTCCTTTATCGTTGACTGCTTCTCACTACGTCTTATGCAATTCTAAATAAATATTAGCACATGTAACGCACAAACTAAAAGAGAAAATGAAAAAAATATATATAAGAAATTTATTTCATTGCTTATATTAAAATATCAAATTTAAATAGTTGAAAAATCTTGTATTATTGCAAGTACAATGAAAATGACACTGACTGTAACGGTGCTGCAATGGAAACCACACCGATGTATTGAAGAAGATGAAAGTGTGGAACCGCACGTTGCGGAATGAAAGTGGAAATAAGTATTGAAGTCGGTAATAAATTTATTCTACTCAAAATTTAAATAAAAAGTGAAAGATAATTTTTTTTATTAATTTTTCTTCCAAAGCATTGTTTAATAATTTTTGAAGTAAAACTTCTTTAGGCGCGACTAGGGTGTAAATCCGTACAAATGCAACGAAAGTGCGTTACGGCAGATAAGATAAAATAAGACTCGAGTGCCAATGATTCATTCATTTATTCGCTCTCGATGATATCATTTCTATACGGGTCGATTGTGATTAGTCGTCGCATATGTGAATAGAGATCTGTCGTTGTATGTGGCGTCAACGTTGCATGCGTACCGACATCAACGAGAAAATCGGCATAGATAAATAAATATTTTAGAGTTACATCATAGTACAAATCTTGATTCAATGAAAAATGTCTGAATCAAAATAATATTTTACCCTATCCGCCGTAAATAATAATGAAAATAATAAAACAAATGCAGCATTTGCGCCGTGTATGAAACATAAGTTTATTGTAATAATTTCTATAAATTAAGTAGTTTCTATAAATCCTTGAAGTAATTGAAATGGAAAATATTTTTTAGGCAAAGCAGATATTACAGCTGTTCAAAGAATGAGATTATATAGCCAACGAAAAAGTAAAAAAATTACTATCAGTCAATGAATGTATGTTAATTTTAATTACATGAAGTTCTTCAAACACAATTATTACATGATTGTCTTATTATAATATCAATATATTCACGGCTTATAAAATAATAGAATATTATAAAAAATAAGAATGTATGAATGTAAAAATTAATATAGGAATAATTGATTAATCGAACGAATTATATAAATTTGTATGAGATATATAAAATATATATTATACTTGAGAAACCTTAAATTTATTAAGGATTTTTAAAAAACAAAATAAAATGTTTACAAAAATAACATTTTTCACAGACATAATAAAAACACAAAGAATAAGATTAGTAAAATAAATTCAGAAATTTGTGTTTAATGCAATTTTTTAACAAATACCCAAAGGTACAAGAAGCTAGAAGTATATTATCAATTTATGTGTACTTGTTTCAATACTAATTTTAGTTCATAAGACTTCTCTCTAGAAAATTTTTATAAATAAAGAATGAAATGAAAGTTACAAAAAATAAAATGATATATATATATATATATATATATATATATATATATATATATATTATTAGTTAATCAGACTTAAACTTTGAATAAATAATAAACCTCCAATTTTATGAATCAGAGCTTTATTTATCCAAAGTTTAAGTTCATAGTGTAGTGCATTACCATATCCTGATACCATGGATTATTAAAATTTTCCAATTTAACACTAAGATCAACTAATTTTTCCACTGAATGAAGGCTAGGATTATAGCCGAAACGTATGGATTTAAAATAAATTTTTGAAAGAAATTCATGTTTTTTATTGATGTTATGCCTCAAATTCAGAATCATACATATATATATATATATATATATATATATATATATATATATCGCGTTGATTACAATGAAAAGCTTCTATTTAAGTCAATACCTCGTGCCTTCATTAGCAACAGAGCACGTACTATTTCAATACCCGATTAGATATATATATATATATATATATATATATATATATATATATATATATATAGTTTTAGTATTTTTGAACAGCTTTCTGGAAGTTTTTCCATATTCACGCAAGGACACACTCCTATGGTCAAAGTATTATCAATTATGATATTTAGGGGTTGTTTATTTTAATTTTAAGAAAGTATTCAATTTTTGTTTAATTCCAAATACTTCAAAATTATTGACGAAAGGAATATAATATATATGAATAAAAAAATTTTCTTTTCTGTAAAAAAAAGAAACTTAGAAATTGGTTATATAAATTAATTTCGTCATACTGACAAATTCTATATATATATATATATATATATATATATATATTCGTAATGTACTAAAAAGTGTATAGGGTATCATTAATAGCTCTTGTGTACCCGAAAAGCTTTTTTTTGCTTTGTGCGAGTGACCAAATCAACAAACCTATAAAATAATTAATATATATTGTATATACGAGTTGATAAAACAAAAAACTTGTTAACAAGCATTTATCTAGGTATAAAAAAGGAAATTTAGATATATTTTTCAAAATAAATTTAATAGATCCATACGTTTCGAGTTCCACGCTTGTCTCTTCCTCAGTGGAAACAAAACTACAAAGAATAGCAAAAGAAAACTAAGTAAAATTTACCTATGTTATTTTTTTTTTATACTCAAGAGTGCCAGCGCGTTTTCTATGATTATCTTATTACACCAACAGCACCTCAATACATACTCATTTATTCTGTATTTTGTATGTATTCCATGTCTGTATCCAAAAAGGTTATATATTATAGAACATATATTATGAATTAATTTTGATGTTACGCTTGTTTTGTCATCTGGAAAAAGTTATTTCATTCAGAATTTTTTAAGATATTACACAATTGGGAATAACGGAACGTGCATGCTAGTCTCGATACGTCACGTATCCAAGAGAAGAGCTTATACTTGAAATCGAATTATTGTAAATTACAAGTAATTAGACGTGCAGAAATATTTCGTAACTGAATATTTAGGTCAGAGAACAAGTGGTTTGATAAATATAGTGTAAAGCGTGAGTCTAATTCATTCAGTCGAGTTTTTTATTTACTCATAAAAGCATATTTTTATGGTGCAATATGGCATCTGCGCTTTATGTTGTTTTGTTTACTTATTTGGTTCATTTAATTAATAGTATAACTTATTATTGCAGCGAGCATAAATATAACATAAAATATTAAAATTTTGTAAATATAGTTTCGTTTGGCAATCCGGATATATGAAGAAAGGTTAATACCCCATGATTGGATAAGAAATTTTTTTATATTAATATTGAGATACAAAAGTGCCTGAAGAAATCGGTGGTTACCAATATCACTATTTATAAGGTGATACGTCCGGGTTGGCAGGGACAGCCCTGGATTTCTACCTTGTGTCCCGGGTTTTTCTAAAAGCAATATTTGTCTCGGATTTAGATCTTTTATCCTAGAAAATTGAATAGAATTTTATACAGCTCAAAAGTAAGAAAAATATGGATAAAAGAGTATTACATATAATTTAATAATAAAGTTCTTACTAAAAGTTTGCAATTGCGATTAAAAAAAAGATCCACATTTATTTTTTAGTGTATCACTAAATAGCATTTGTTATTAAAGCCAAAAACCCTACCACCCCGCGTGCCAAATTAGCATAAATAAAAATTGACTTAAAAAATATGGTCACCTTACTATTAGCATTAACTCTTATTATACGATCAGGTGGATAAAAGGGCGCGAGATTCAAATGTTTGTAGTTAATAATTTTATTTAATACTTAATTTTAACTAATATTATGCAAATATAAAGCTCGTATGTGTCAAAAATTAAAAAAAAATTAAATTACAAAAATATATAGAGGAAATACAGTCATTTAAAGAACAAATAGAATAAATAAATAATATTAAAATATCTAGAGATTAAATACATCATTTTTACATTTATCGACAAGGTTATACCGCAATACTCTCTTATTATTACATTTATTTAATAAACAAAAACATCATATCTAATATAGTTATTTACTAATTTTAGCAAGCCCTAAAACCCTTTAGTTAAAGTTATCCACATCGATTTCAAACGGGAAGAGCTGTAGACTAGTGTGGACCTTTTAAAAAGTGTTTGTTACAAAACAGCTACGCCACAACTTTGTCAATCTCAATAAAAATAAATTAAATATTTCATTTCCTTTAATCTATTTCAGAAATCGATAAAATAAGTTCGATTAGGTGCGAATGAATTTCTATTACCACGAACAAATCAATTAAATGTTTGGCACGTACAAATAATACTTTCTTCGAGCAGACGAACGGGCAATACGAAATCGAAGAATCTGCAAAACACTTTCACTTTGTTATATATATAATTAGAGAAATTCAAAAAGGACTTGAGTATTCTCAATTAAATTAATAGATTTTGTAGATAAATGTTTTGAAGCGTATTATTTCAAAATTGATTTAAAAATACTCAAACTGTGATTGCAAAGTCCATATTAATTTGTACTCTTTAAACTCAATTTGATGTAATAAAAATAAGATGTTTTTCCTAATTTGTTTCGCATTTATGGAAAGATTGTAATTGAATTGACATTGATTACACTCTGTTGATAAAACTTTAATATATTTTTTGGTATAATTACTTAAAAGTTTTCTAGCCATACTTGCATTTGCATCATCTATATATTAATAAAATATTATTGATAAAAATAATTAATTAACTTGCTATAACTGCCAATAGAATAAGCAAACAAAAATAAATAATATAGCAGAAATAGATAAGGATTTTGAATAGCAAAAAATTAAGAAGAAAAACAAATAGTATTATAGAAAATTAAAAGTAATTTGGGCTAACTTACCTTAAATAATCGACTACATTTGGTCATGCTATGTTTCTAAATACAAAGAAAAATATGTTTTCTCTGACTTCTGTAAATAGAAACTTAATAACAGTTAGCTAAATAAATGTAAATGTTAAAATCTAAATCAAAACTAATCAAAAAGCTTCATCAAACACTGATAGCAGTTACAAAATCAAAATCATATTGCTCTGTTTATTTCTTTGTGAAATATTTTCCAAACTGTAAAAAACATGAATATTGATTATTGTTCGACTTAGGAATAAAGTCTAATCCGAATATATCTAAAGTAAACGAAAGTTTAATGTTTAATACAAACACATAATAATATGTTTGATACCATCAACGGAGCGTTAAATACTATGCAAATACCTTGATGTTATTGTAGGTATATAATAAATAAAACAAACAGAGAAAAGCTTTGATTAGAAATCATATTAATGAATCATTCAACTCCTGAATGACTAATCAAATTAGGTTTTATATTTTACGCAAACAATGTGATTATGTATCCGACAATTCAGAATATTAACATAGAGCTATATTCATAATATAACAATATGTAACAATAACAATATATGTATTATTTTATGTTCTTTAATTTTATATTCAATAAATCTTACAATTTTGATCTATATTCCAAAATCTCTTGATTACTAAATGATTCATATATCATAACAAAAACATTAACAACTTTTGAAATATTAACGGATGGTTTCGGAAAATGTACTTATGCTATACTATTTAAGCCTCTGTATAATAATTTAGTTCAAAAATAAATTTATAAGAGACTTTTGAAAGTCAATATTTAAAATCGAAGTACATACTTAATTCCGACTTATAAATAATATAATAAATTATACAAAACAAATTGTAAGTAAAAAGTTATTGAGTAAATTTGAACGGACGGAATTCATTACATAAAGCATAGAAGAACATAGAGAGCTAGTTCTATTGTCAATTAAATTATATATAACTAAAATTAATTAAAATGATAAAATAAATATATATTTAACCATAAACTTGCTTGCTGAATTGTACGCTTCCAGAGGCACCAGCACCAGCAGCGGCTCTATTATTCAGAAATTGATTTACTGCGCCCAATGTGGAGATAGGAATCTATAATATCAAGAAATAAATAAATATTAAACAGTACCAGACAGTAACAGGTTGAATATAATATTTCCCTATAAATTCTTATCAATCTAACTTACGTTGAAAATGTCATCAAAAAAACCCTTAGAACCACCGACTGTGAAACCTCCTTGAGCAGCAAATGATCCTTGAGCAGGTACTGAGACCTGTTTTACGACATGGGTCTGGACAGGTTGCACTTCTTTAATTACTTGAACAGGTTGAACTTCGACCTGCTTTACGACCTGTGCAGGTTGTACTTGAACCTGTTTTACAAACTCTGTCCTAACTACCGGAGGAGGAACAGGAATGGATACCTGTTTCACTACTTGGGCCTGTACTGGTGCTGGAACAACCTGAGAGAACATAAAATATACATTAGTATATTCAAATTAGAGAAAATTATTAATAGGACTGAGTTAATGTCAAACTAGTGGTACAGACTAGTGGTTGTATTGAGAGTCCATAACCGCTGGACCTGCCTTCCCAAAAATTTAATCAGTTCTTCATCTTGTCAATACAAGTAAAACGTTTTTGAATTATTAAAATCGGATGCTACGTTCTCTTAAAAACTCAGTTACCGTTTTTGGCACTTATTGCCCCGTATCTTCGGAACGGCTAGACTTGCCTTTGACAAAAACTAATCAGCATGTCTTCTTATCAATACAAATTGAATGTTTATTGAATTATTCAAATCGGTTGATCGGTGTTCCCGAAATCGTCGAAGAAAATTTGTATCCGCACACACACACACACATATATAAATACACACACATACATCCATTTTTTATAAGGTAGGCCAAAATGTTCAAAAACGTTTGAAACGTAAAGATATATGAAAATTTTCGTTTTCGATTTTTTTGCGATTACTATAACTTATATATTATATATACCTACGGGAAGTTAACAAGTAACATATATCCCGTATAAGCGAAATATAAGGCAAGAATATAAATTTGAAATTTAGAATATTCAATAAATTCCATTTTTTTTAAATTTATGATACATTTAAGTAAATTTGATCTTTACCTCAACATTTGATGCATATTGAACTGCTGGATAGAATCCATAATGTTTGTAGAAATGTCTTGGGCGGAAACGTTTCCTCAAGTAAACTGTATTATAATATTGCGGCACCTATCAAAAACAAAAACATATTAGATTTTTATAACATTATGCAATTTAGCAGAATGAATAAGTTGAAACGTAGTAGCATTTCTTTTTAAGGAATAAAATATATTAGATATATTTGAAATTTTCTTACATATTTTTGAAGTAAAACTTCTTTAGGCGCGACTAGGATGTAAATCTCTACAAATGCATCGGAAAATGCGTTACACCCGAACTGTACGTCATTCGCTCTCGATGAAATCATTTCAATACGGGTCGATTGTGATTAGTCGTCGTGTATTCGAATAAAAATCTGTCGTTGTATGCGTACCGGAATCAACGTTGTATGCGTACCGATATCAACAAAGAAATCGGCATAGATAATTAAACATTTAAAGTTACATCGTAGTACAAATCTTGATTTACTGAAAAATGTCTGAATCAGAAGAATATTTTACCGAGTTCCTTGAAAATAATAAAACAAATTAAACATTTGTGCAATGTACTAAACGTAAGTTTATTGATTAGAAATTATTTCTATATTATACGTAGTTTCTATAAATCTTTGAAGTTATTGAAATGAAAAATATTTTTTAGGCAAGACAGATATTACAGCTGTTCAAAGAATGAGATTACATCGCCAGCGTAATAGTGAAAAGAAATACGAGCAGTCATTGAATGTATGTTAATTTTAATTACATGAAGTTCTTTAAGCACAATTATATGATGAGTGAAGTTGCGAAAATAATATTTGTTTAGGTTTTGTTTAACATAATCCACTGCGTGAAAGAATATTGTAAAATTTATTAATCAGCAATTATTTCATTTCTCTAATAAAGGTTTATTTCTAAATGCTAATTGCAATAGCAAACCGATCATGTCATATTTGAAGTATGACTTTAATTACATTATGGTTTTCAAATATAATAAATATTTTTAATGCTATTATAGATATATAATTTATAATTTATCATTATATAAATGTGCATAATAGTTGACACTAATAAATGTGTATATCATATGGTAACACATATTACTAATAAAAATTATTCAAAATTGTTATATGATGTATTTATTTTTACTTAAATGCCATCTTGTACAGTAGCAAATAAGTTTTACTTCAATCGCGTGTGAACCTTAAGCGCACTCTTTTTTTAGTATGTTTCATTAAAATGACTTTTTAATAAACCTTGAAACAACCTTCACATAAATTCTATTATGCTATTATATAATTATACTTTTGAAACTTACTTCTTGGGCAACTTCTTGCACAACTTCCTTCTTTGGGGCTTCTGTCATTTGCTCCACTTCTGCGACCTTAACCCTGGTTGCAACGACGGGAGCGGCCTGGACAGTTTTGGTGACGTACGCAACAGGTTGGACAGTTTTTGTGAATGTAAATCCAGCATGAGCAGCTGGTACGGTTTCGACAACGGACACTTGCTTAGCTGGAACAACTTTTTCTACAGGAGCTGTAGTTTCTACAGTGTTCACTATTTCTACATTCTTGTTTTATGGCATTTGTTACTACTGGTGTAGGCTGTTCGACCTGCAAATTAGTAGGAATGATTAAAAGATGGATTACATTGAATATGGCATACTGGGTTTAGATTTGTTATATGTTAAGCTTAATTTCTAAAATTTAAAATAATAAGGATTATAACATATAACATATAAAAAATCTGGCAGAATTTCTGAAAATTAAATTCCACAAAAAACATTACATTTTGCTATAGGGTTCGTTATAACTAAACTTAACTCGTTACAAAATACATAGCAGTTTTTATCCGTCTAATGTTCACTAATTATTATTGTTTACTAATTTATTATAATGTTATAAATTTATTTTATTTATTATTAAGCATTAGTAAAAGCAATAGCAGTTGCTTTCCAAACTAGTTGGTATTGGTATTTTGCCTTGAGCAAGTTACATGAACTTCCCGATATGGGTAATTAATCGACTTAATCAATAAAAAATAAATTAATTTATGAGTGATTGAAAGTATTCCGATTGGATTCATTACACATAATTGAAAACGAACGAACATGTTAACTCGGAGTATTTTCTAAAAGTAAATTTCAAAAAATCAACAATTTTTATAATTGAACCAATTTCCGTAGGACTTCAATGGTTTAGTATGCTCATTAAGACCAACTACTTTATCGTTATACCAAGTAAATCATCAATTTTTAATTTTAACAGACGTCAAAAAAACTACAAATTTTCTCAAACTTTGATTATTTTTAAAATTAAACTACTTGTCGTAAGACCGTAATGTTTCACTAAGTTCTATAGGACCATGATATATATCGCCAAAAAAAGTTCCATAAAAATCGGCTTAAATTTTTTTTTCAACAGTTTTATATAAA